AGAAGTAGGAAACAGAGGTGGAGAGGCACACAGGGAGAGAGGTCCCCACTGGAACCTGAATTGGTTAGAGGTAAGGAGTAGGTCTGTGGCTACGTTCCACACTCCCGGGCCGGGCTAGGCCTCTCTGCAACCTGTTACCCTCTATTAGAACCTCGAGAGGTCAGAGAGGGGAAAGGTTTGGATAAAGTTTTAAATATAAGATCTAAGTTTTTAGGATTTAAGTGAAAGAGTAAGAACTAAAATGTATAGGTGAAGAGGCACAACGTATCTACGTCAATGCACTCTTATTAGATTATTTTGTTTTATCACTATAAGCTTTATCAAAAAGGAAGGTCTTAAGCGCACTCTTAAAAACGGGTAGGGTGTCTGCCGCCGGAACACAAACTGGAAGCTGATTCCTCAAATGTGGAGCTTGATAAGAAAAGGCTCTGGCTCCCATTGTACTTTTAGAGACTCTAGGAACAACCAACAACCCTGCATTCTTGGAACACAATGCCCTAGTAGGACAGTAGGGTATAATGAGTTCTTTAAGGTAAGATGGCGCCTGCCCATTAAGGGCTTTGTAGGCGAGAAGAAGAATTTTAAATTATATCCTGTGTTCTATAGGGAGCCAGTGTAAGGCAGCCAGAACAGGAGTAATGTGGTCCCTTTTCCTAACTCTGGTTAGTACACAAGCTGCAGCATTTTTAATCAGCTGAAGCGACTTGACTGACTTCTTGGTACACCCTGATAATAAAGAGTTACAATAATCCAGCCTAGAAGTAACAAATGCATGGACTAGTTTCTCTGCATCGTTTTGAGGCAAGATATGCCTGATTTTGGCAATGTTGCGTAGATGGAAGTAGGCGGTCCTTGAAATTGATTTTATGTGGGCGTTAAAGGATAAATCCTGATCAAATATAACACCAAGATTCCTTACAGTCTCACTGGAGGCCAAATTAATGCCATCCATAGTTAGTATATCTTTAGATAGTTTGTTTCGTAGATTATTTGGGCCGAGTACAATAACTTCAGTTTTGGTCGTGTTTAACATCAAAAAGTTTAAGGTCATCCACGTTTTTAAGTCCTTAAGGCAGTCTTGCATTTTATTTAGGTGATTGGTCTCATCAGGCTTGATGGATAAATATAGTTGAGTATCATCCGCATAACAGTGGAAATTTACAGAATGATTCCTTATAATATTGCCTAGCGGAAGCATATATAATGTGAACAAAATAGGTCCAAGCACTGAGCCCTGTGGCACTCCATGGCTAACTTTGGTTTGCGTGGAAGATTCATCGTTGACACACACAAACTTAGAGCGTTCAGATAGATAGGACCTAAACCAGCCTAAAGCATAATATCAGTTAAAATAAGTGCTTAAACATAAAGTAGTTAACATTGCAGGAAAGCAATATATTAGTACTTTGTCAGGCTTAATATGTATACCCCCAAAGCTTTTTTCTTATTAAAAAAAAAAGTATTCTTTAATGTTTAAATAAATCCTTATTAGTTTGTCTGTCTGTGTCTCCTATTAATATCTAATAATACAAATAATACATTTAAATAACGTGCTTTAACCACCAGGTGTCCCTTTCTATCAACTGTGCACCCTTATGGTGTAAATATACCAATATACCGATTGGATCAAATATAAAAGTCAGCTGAATTAGTATTGATACTGCAAGGAGACTTATATTGTGAAGAGAAATTGAAGATTTTGTTTAATTGCTGATATATTTATGATCCACGTCACATATTCAGTTTCGGTGGCAGTTCCTCCTGTTTGTCCAGAAGTCTTCTCATCAGGCTCTATAAATAGCAAACTACGGCAGATATGTAATATTTAATGCAGCCAAACCGTGTATTACAATGCCGTTATGTGATGACTTTCAAAGAGAAAAGCAAGCAAACTCGGAATAAAGTATTATTTTATTTTTAAAAAATGTTTTCGGATTTCACATCAACAGGAAGTCCGGTTAACTAAAATGTCCGTGCGGAACAATACCCCAACCCATAGATCCATGGGTGAATAATGTCAATCACCACATTACACAAATCCCTTCACATTTAAATTTAAATTTACATTAAAGTATTTCATGAGGCCTTCTAAAGTGTTTTTAAATATAATTAGGGTTGTAGTTGAAGAGTTTGTAACAGACAATGGCACGTCCATTAATTCCACAACCACTAGTGCTGGGGGGAAACGATTATTTTGAAAACGATTAATCGGGCGATTATTTGATCGATTAGTCGACTAATCGAACGATTATTTTTCTGTTGTTCAATTCATAAAAAACGTAATGTAAAATTTTTTTTTTTTCACGATACTGTGTCTCAGGGGATCTTAATATTTAAGAACCTATTAATGTGTTATACCAGATTAACGGAAATAATCTCAGCTAACTGACGATACAAACCATGTTTACCAACACAAAACAAAACACAAGTCTCATAAGAAGCAAACTAAAATGCTATCTAAATGACCCCTGAGCGAAAAATGCTAACGGACATTGGCACAGAACTCAAGATAACCCTTATTACTTATCGTAGCTGCACATACAAGATATCCGATTAAAGCTGAGACTCAACAGATTATGTAGGTACATAGTATCATCACTGAGTGATCCGGACTCACGACAGGGGAAGCAAATACAGTCATCACAACACGTACCTTCACAGAGCTTCTAGGGAGATCGTCTCACCGCCGTAGCTGTCAATCTGATCAAAATACGTGTTCAATGGCATTACAATGAGAAAAAACGCGGCTGAATCGGTTAATCCATAGGTTTTTAACGTCTATGTATAAAAAAATTATTGAATTTATAATCCATAATTCCATTTTAATGTAAAAATCGGAGAGCAAATGCTAGCTGCTAATGGTTGCCACCACAGCTAGCTGCTGCTTCCGGTCAAGCAGCAGTCTCAGTGAGATATAAATATATAAATATCTTTGCGTTTTGGACTAACTTTAAAATATTCCCATGCTTTTGAAGACCTAGGGCGAGATGTTTTCGTTTGGGGGCTTCGTGCGCAATCCTGTGAGGAGGAGGAGGTGGTAGCCGTTTCAGTCTCCATTGTGTTAGAAGTGCGATTGCGAACTGCTTGTTGCTTTGGGTGACCCACGTGTGTGTGGCGACCATATATACAGTCTATGGTGGCGACGCGTCGACGCGGAAATATGTCGTCGACGATATTTTGAAGTCGACGTCGACGCGTCGCTACAGCACTAACAACCACACACATGGATTAACATCGATTTAATACATTAATGTAGCCTTTGTTTCTGCTATGTCACATCATTCTATTTCTATTTCTATTTCACATCATTCATCCACATCTGTGAAGTAACTAAAGGTATTCCATACATGTAGTGGAGTAAAAGTACACCATGTACCTCCGAACTGTAGTACAAGTACACAGTAGCAAAACATTTAAATACTCCAGTAAAGTACAAGTACCTCAACATTTTACTCAAGTACAGTACAATATAATAACATAATTATATATATTTCATTTATTTCACATCTAAATAAAGCAATTAATTCGGTTAACAATTTGTTAGTTTTTCCCTTTAAAAAATAACAAAAAGTAAATACAAGAATACGGTTAAAGTACCGGATCGATAAGCAGTATCTATAAGACAAGTAGTACTGTAAAAAACCTTAACGATACCCATCCCTAGATATATCCTATTACACAAATAAAGTGTTAAGAGAGTGAAATGTTGCTTTACGAATTTCAACACTTGATGCTGTCCCATTGATTCCGATTTCAGAAACCTGTATTTGCCCAAATGAATTGGTTTAAAGAGAGAAAACATTTTGACTAAAATGTAATTTTTCATCGACTAAAACATCAGTATGTAGAATACGAAAGAAGTTGTCAAAGATGAAATACTTGCTGCCATAAGAAAATATATAGCTAGTCTAAAGGCTAGAGAATTAAAGAACATCAAAGAACACAAACCTGACCAACGTTAAAAGGGCAAGTCGGTAGGTCTGTTGTTTCGATTGGATAAGAATAAGGAGAATAAGCCAACAAAGAGGACCAAAACACCCGTCTGCTACTTCCTCTGACAAAATATCAATCAACAAAATGTCAGACTTTATCTTTTGAGTTTGGTACACATTACTTCCAGGACAATGCAAGCCCTTTACTTTCTATCCAACAATTAAAAAGATCATATCCTCCTCCCTTTTTCAACTGTTGTACTTTATAAAGATAACTCCCAACAAATGAGATGGAGGCCCTTCTACTTTAAAAAGGGGCTAAAACAACTTCAACACTGTTACAAAGTTTGACTTACTTTGCATGTAGTGACTGGTTTTCTTCAGAGTACAGTTAGCAGTTTGGGAATATGCAATACAGCTTGCATGCTGGGACAGGGATTTAAGCAAGTCATTTTTTTCCACGTACATTTTCTTTGTTAAAAGAATGCAGTATTTTTAGAGCGGATGGTTATCAATTTCAGACTCAGGAAAAAGGGAAACAGTTCCCTTTCTTGTCGTGGGTGGTGAAAGTTGTACATTGTAGTTTATTAAAAGTTGAGAGGCAAGGATTAAACGTTTTAGCGTTGCATCACACATTCCCTAACCGTAGATTCCCCTACAGATGGAAACACGTCTTTACGACATTTTAAAAGAGCACACCTGTTGGATATTGCCAGCAATGGACAGGGTGACACAAGAGGAGAAGTCGAAGGATTGGAAGCAGAGCCACTCAAAGAAGGTTTTTACTTATCTACATGTTTCCCTACAATACTTTATCTTCTACTGTATACCTTATTTCTATATTGTTGCTACTTTCATGATAAACCTACTAAGAGAGAACATAGATTACAATTGTTGAAAAAATAAATAAATGATATAAATGTAAAAAATACGATATATTTAATAATATGGATATCCCACAGCCTCATAGTGCTGTTGTGGTTAATAACACACTAGTACTGAAATAAACACAATCTCTGATATCCAAAATGCTCGGACATTACTCTGACATTTCTTTGTTATTTCAGGATGATGGAAAACTTCACCTACAACAGCTTCATGTTACAGCTTGAGGGATTGAATGTCCCAGAAGATTCTATGCACCATGTGTTTGTTGTTATCTTTTTATCCTACTTATTTATAATGTTTGCAAATATAGGCATTGCCGTTCTGGTTTGCATGGACAACAACCTTCACCAGCCCATGTATCTACTTTTGTGTAACCTGTTATTCAGTGATTTACTTGGAAACTCTATCTTGGTGCCCCGTCTGCTTATGGACATGTTGAGGCCTCCCTCTGAGCGCATCATCAGTTATTACGAATGTGTGCTACAAGCTTTTACTACACACATGTTTGGTACCACAGCTCACACAGTGCTCATGATTATGGCTTTTGATAGATATGTGGCTATCTGTAATCCTCTGCGCTATCATACAATAATGACAAACAAGATGGTGATCAAGCTGACAGTTTCTGCCTGGGGAGTAGCCTTGGTTTTGGTCGGGATTCTTCTCGGTCTGACCATACGCCTGAATCGATGCAGGACTATGATTGAAAGCCATTACTGTGACAATGCTGCACTTTTTAAACTGTCCTGTGATAATGTGTTTATTAATAATGTCTATGGCCTCACTTTCACTGTAGTCCTGTTCACAGCTTCAATCGGCACTATGGTTATCACCTATACTAAGATAACTGTAGTCTGTCTCACCAGTAAGAGCAAGTCTTTGAACATTAAAGCCTTGAAGACCTGCAGCACTCACCTGGTTGTGTATCTAGTCATGATTTTTAGTGGGATGTCTATTATTGCTCTGCATCGTTTCCCTCAGTATACATACTACAGAAAAATGTGTACTGTTTTTTTTCATATCGTTCCCGGCAGCCTTAACCCCATCGTTTATGGTCTCCAGTCAAAGGAGATACGAATGTTTTTTTCCAATATCTTTAGATCCAAGAAAGTTTTTGCAAAGTAGTAATGAACAGTTCCATGTATTGTGTGTTCTGTTTTGTTGTGTTCAACACATCATAATGTGCTACTGAGTTTCTTCCTTTTAAGTACACAGTGCATGATCACTTTGAACTGTATGCTCAGTAATAAAGGTTGCAAAGTCCTTGCAAAATATGTGCAATAAATACCAAAAGAGTCATTTTATAGAAAAACTGTTTTAATATGGCTATTAAATGCAAACCCACCTTTGTTCTGCATTAGCACATCACATATAACATATATCCTACTTCTGCCTGAAGGGGCTTTACAATATGTACGGCACACGATACGCTCTGTCCTTAGGCCTTGCAGCAGCTAAGGAAAGACTGAGCTACAATTACAACGCAGAAAATCATTAGAATAGAACAATTTGACTCAACAATAAAAGTTGCAGAGGGCCTCAATGAGTTATTTGGGGCAGCCTGATACTAAAGAGTAACAATATTCCAGCAAAGAAAGAAAAAATACATTTAAAAAGTTTTTTTGCATATTTCTGAGACAGGATGTGCCTGGTTTTTGTGACCTTACATATTTGGTATTGGAGGCAGTCTTTGAAGTGTTGTTAATTTCCAGTTAAAAGAATGAGCTGAAACATAAGATGGATACACTTACAATATTTTGAGTGTACAAGTTGTAAGAAATAAAATCCAATGTTTATAGGGCGTAAATTAAATTAAATACACTGTTTTAATTTAAAGCTGTTTTATTCCGAAAACCGGAAATTAAATACACTGTTTTAATTTAAAACTCACACAACGACTTCCTGCAAGTAAATATTGTTAGCTTCAATTTAAGGTTAGCATTAGCATGTGGCTGAAGACTACGTTTTGAAACAGTGAATTCAAGGTTGAATGACACATAGTGTTGCACACTAAAAACACTGTCTTTAACTCTCACTTATTGACACGGCAATACTGTTATTAGGGAATGTTTAAAGGGGACCTATCATGCAAAATGCACTTTTGTACGTCTTTTAAACATGAATATGTGTCCCCGGTGTTCCAGGGAACTCACCAAGTGTCAGAAAATACAACCCTCTCTCTTTTCCTCCATACCCAAATCTTTTAAAAACAGGGCTACAACGAGCGAGTACAGATTCCATCCGACCCGACGTCAGCCCGGAATACTGGGCGGTGACGCTCCGCCTACATGGGCAAATCTCCACCTATCAGGGGCATGGGGGGTTGCCACGGCCACGGCCATAGAGTGGCAAAGTCCCCCCCTTCCGGTGGACCTCCATACCTTCACGGTATCGAAGGCTGCACTCAGGTCGAGGAGGATGAGGATGTTGAAGGAACCGGTGTCAGCAGAGGTGAAGAGGTCATTGAGGACTTTGATGAGTGCCGTTTCTGTACTGTGGCTGGGACGAAAACCAGACAGAAGGGGTTCAAAAAGCTGTTTGGTTTGGAGGAGGCAGTGGAGTTGTTTGGAGATGATGCGTTCTATTGTTTTTGAGAGAAAGGGGAGGTTGGAGATGGGACGGTAATTACTGAGGGAGGAGGGATCCAGACCGGGTTTCTTGAGGATGGGAGTGACAGCAGCAGTTTTTAAGGCAGAGGGAACGGTTCCTTGGGACAGTGAGGAGTTGAAAAGGTTGACAAGGAAGGGGCAGAGGACGGGGAGGCAGGATTTCAGTAGCGGGGTGGGTAGAGGGTCAAGCGAGCAGGTTGTGGGTTTGGAGGAGATGATCAGTTTGAGTATTTCAGGGGGGGTAACCAGAGTGAACTGGGAGAGGGCGGCCGTGGGGAGGAGGGCTCGGGAGGTCCAGGGAGATGGGGGGAGAAATTGTGGCGGTGGATGTTGGGGGAGATGTATGTGTGTCAGATGCAGCGGATAGGGAGAGATTAATGGAATTTTTTTTTAAAAGACTTTTTCGTATTTCCCATAATAAGAAGTTGCCAGTATTAAACTGTGTACATCCCTGGTGGTTTAGGGGATAGGAAACGCTCAAATTTAAAACATATAATTAATAAATGGGTGAAAATTGCTTGTGCCCATGATGGGCAGCATTAATATACCCATATGCCAGCTAAGGTCAGAAGAGCTTTATTTAACAACTGGTCTTATGTCTGTGACCCCTCCTGTTGTTAATTGATAAGCCTGAAACATGCACTTGTCAAGGTTCAGAGGCACATTTTGCAAATATGGCAGTAGCCATCGATCATCTTAAGATAAGATATACTTTATTGATCCCAAGTTGGAATCATTTGCGTTACATCAGCATGTGTAACAGTTGTAAATATGCAGTGGTGTTCACAAATTCTGTGTTTTATATTTAACAATTCTGTGTTCTTTATTTGTTGAATATTCAATACCTGACAAGGTCGGAGATGAAACACTTGGGTCGCAGCAGGTTCCTCAACAACAAGACATCTATCAATATGTGTGTATACCTCCACCATTGAACTTTCGTATTCTGCACATTTCGTATACTATCTACATACATCTTATAAGAGTATAATACGTATAATATCAATCAATGTTTATTTATATAGCCCAATATCACAAATGTTACATTTATCTTAGTGGTCTTCACAGTTTGTACAGAATATCAGTATGACAATACGACACCCTCTGTCCTTAGACCCTCTGTCCTTAAACCCTCTGTCCTTAGACCCTCACATCGTACAAGGAAACACTTCCAGAGAAAACCCCACAGTTTAAGGGGAACATGGGAGAAACCTCAGAGAGAGCAACAGAGGAGGGATCCCTCTCCCAGGACGGACAGATGTGCAATAGATGCCGTGTGTAAATCAAAAAGATAATACATTTACAACATAGGTAGTCCAAATGTTTGGAAATGCATGTGTCTGTAATAAGAAGATGAATCCACGAGGATGTCAGCAATCTTGTGGGAGCCATCAAGGAAGTAGTATGGTGAGAGTCTGGCAGGACCGCAGAGACAGGTTCAGCCACGACTCGAAGTCCAGGACTCAGATCCAGAACTCAGGATAGAGGATCCAGGACACACGACCACAGCAACAGGATTAGCCTCGACTCAGGATCCCGGCGTAGATATGGACACAAAAAGAGATTTGGGGGAAGCTGGGTTAATCGGAACATGAGAGTACACAGGTACAAACAGCCAGAAAGACGGAGTAAGGTGCCCCCCCCCCCAACAGTCCAAGCCTATAGCAGCTAAACTAACGTGTCTACATACATGCACTCCCTTAGGATAGGTTGAGGGAAAAGGGTAGCAAGTAAGAAGTAGGAAACAGAGGTGGAGAGGCACGCAGGGAGAGAGGTCCCTGCTGGAACCTGAATTGGTTAGAGGTAAGGAGTGGGTCTGTGGCTACGTTCCACACTCCCGGGCCGGGCTAGGCCTCTCTGCAACCTGTTACCCTCTATTAGAACCTCGAGAGGTCAGAGAGGGGAAAGGTTTGGATAAAGTTTTAAATATAAGATCTAAGTTTTTAGGATTTAAGTGAAAGAGTAAGAACTAAAATGTATAGGTGAAGAGGCACAACGTATCTACGTCAATGCACTCTTATTAGATTATTTTGTTTTATCACTATAAGCCTTATCAAAAAGGAAGGTCTTAAGCGCACTCTTAAAAACGGATAGGGTGTCTGCCGCCCGAACACAAACTGGAAGCTGATTCCACAAATGTGGAGCTTGATAAGAAAAGGCTCTGGCTCCCATTGTACTTTTAGAGACTCTAGGAACAACCAACAACCCTGCATTCTTGGAACGCAATGCCCTAGTAGGACAGTAGGGTATAATGAGTTCTTTAAGGTAAGATCGCGCCTGCCCATTAAGGGCTTTCTAGGTGAGAAGAAGAATGTTAAATTCTATCCTGTGTTCTATAGGGAGGCAGTGTAAGGCAGCCAGAACAGGAGTAATGTGGTCCCTTTTCCTAACTCTGGTTAGTACACGAGCTGCAGCATTTTGAATCAGCTGAAGCCACTTGACTGACTTCTTGGTACACCCTGATAATAAAGAGTTACAATAATCCAGCCTTGAAGTAACAAATGCATGGACTAGTTTCTCTGCATCGTTTTGAGGCAAGATATGCCTGATGTTTGCAATGTTGCGTAGATGGAAGTAGGCGGTCCTTGAGATTGATTTTATGTGGGCGTTAAACGATAAATCCTGATCAAATATAACACCAAGATTCCTTACAGTCTCACTGGAGGCCAAATTAATGCCATCCATAGTTAGTATATCTTTAGATAGTTTGTTTCGTAGATTCTTTGGGCCGAGTACAATAACTTTTTGGTTTTGGTCATGTTTAACATCAAAAGGTTTAAGGTCATCCACGTTTTTAAGTCCTTTAGGCAGTCTGCATTTTATTTAGGTGATTGGTTTCATCAGGCTTGATGGATAAATATAGTTGAGTATCATCCGCATAACAGTGGAAATGTACAGAATGATTCCTTATAATATTGCCTAGCGGAAGCATATATAGTGTGAACAAAATGGGTCCAAGCACTGAGCCCTGTGGCACTCCATGGCTAACTTTGGTTTGCGTGGAAGATTCATCGTTGACACACACAAACTTAGAGCGTTCAGATAGATAGGACCTAAACCAGCCTAAAGCATAATATCAGTTAAAATAAGTGCTTAAACATACAGTAGTTAACATTGCAGGAAAGCAATATAATAGTACTTTGTCAGGCTTAATATGTATACCCCCAAAGCTTTTTTCTTATTAAAAAAAAAGTATTCTTTAATGTTTAAATACATTCTTATTAGTTTGTCTGTCTGTGTCTCCTATTAATATCTAATAATACAAATAATACATTTCAATAACGTGCTTTAACCACCAGGTGTCCCTTTCTATCAGCTGTGCACCCTTATGGTGTAAATATACCAATATACCGATTGGATCAAATATAAAAGTCAGCTGAATTAGTATTGATACTGCAAGGAGACTTATATTGTGAAGAGAAATTGAAGATTTTGTTTAATTGCTGATATATTTATGATCCACATCACATATTCAGTTTCGGTGGCAGTTCCTCCTGTTTGTCCAGAAGTCTTCTC